ACCAGATCTTATTATAGATGGCTGTGAGCCACCATGTGGTTGCTGAGAATTGAACTCAGGACCTTTGGAAGAACAGCCAGTGCTCTTAACCTCTGAACCATCTCTCCAGCCCCCTGAACACTTTTTTTTTTTTTGTCACTAAAGACTTTTCTTGTTTGACAGATTAAAAATTATAATGCAAGTTTATCCTCAAAAACTTGCACAATAATTTTTAATCTGTCAAACAAGAAAAACAAGATTTTGTATTTTGCATTTCAAGTGATTGTTACTGCACTGACATTTTTATTATTCAAAAGCAAAAAGACACTGTCTGCTCTTCCAGAGAACCTAGGTTCAATTTCCAGCACCCATATGGCTGCTCACGACTGGCTGTAACTCCATTCCCAGGGCTTTTGATGCATTTCCTGGCCTCTTCGGTACCAGGAATGTACATGCAGACAGAACAACCACACACACACAAAAAAAAAATGACAAAATACTAATAAACGTGCTTTATTCTTTTTTTTATTTACATGTATGCATCTGGGTGAGTGAATGCCTCTTGTATACAGGTACCTGAGGAGAGCAGAAGAGGGAGGGCATCGGTTCTGCTGGAGATGGAATCACAAGTGATTTATGAATTGTCTATCATTGGGTGCTAGGAACCGTGGGTCCCCTGAAAAAGAGCAAGCATTCTTTACTGCTGAGCCACCTTTCTAGCCCACCCTTCCTTCTCTGCTTCTTCCCTCCCTCCTTCCCTCCCTCCCTCCTTCCTTTCCTTCCTTCTCTTTCCCACAATTTGAAAAAATCTTTGTGTTGTGTATGTATATATGTATGGTACATGTGTATGTGTGTGTAAATGTATATAAGCGTGTGCATGTGTGTATATGTTTGTGTGTATGTGTGTATGTCTGTGTGTATATGTGTATGTGTGTGCACATGATTGTCATGAGTGCAGTGGAGGTCAGACGACAACCTCAGATGCTGGCTGTCACCTTCCAGCTGGTTTGAGATGAGGTCCCTTTGCCAGGCATACTAGGATAGCTGACACTTAAAGCGTAGGGTTCTTGTGTCTCCACTGCCCATCTTGGCAGTCGGGACGCTGCCATCATGCCTGCTTTTATGTGGGTTCTGGGGATTAGAACTGGGTGTTCCATGCTCCTGTGGTAAGGTCTTTACCACTAAGTCATATCGCTAACCACCATTGAAATTTTCCTGGGAGAAAGGCCTTTGCCTGTTTGGGTACTCTTTAGTGTTGTAGTGGTCAGTTTATCCCTCATCTCTAGTGCACTTGCTTGGTGTGTGTGTGTGTGTGTGTGTACCTAGATTATGTTTAGTTGTTAAAAGTCTGCATAGACTGGACCTAGGTCCCCTCCAACATCTATGTAACTTGTAACTGATAGGCAGCCTGGTCTCCACGTGGGTTCCCTGGTAAGTGGAGCAGAGCCTGTCTCTGACATGGGCTCTGTTTCCTGCCTTTGGATCCCTTTCTCCTAGCTGGGCTGCCTTGTCTGGCCTCAGTGGAAGAGAATGTGCTTAGAGTCCTGATATAACTTTATGTGCTGGGGTGGAGGTGTGGTGGGGGAGGTATTCCCTTTTTCTGAGGAGAAGAGGAGGAGGGAAAGGGGGAAGAGGGTGGGACCTGGTGGAGAGGAGGGGTTGCGATTGGGATGTAAGGAATAAATAAATAAATTCAATGAAAAATAAAAAACGTTTCTTTCTTGTCTTTCAGTGTAGAAGAGGTCCTGAGTTTATGGGAAAAGTACTTCCTGTTACTTTATAACTCAAGGTCAAGGCAAGGGAGGAAATTACTTTACAACTGCTATTTGTAACGTCTACCATTTATTAACTCAAAGCAGTGTGTCTTGAATTTCTAGAGATGTCTGTAGTATTTTATTTAATTTTTTTCTGTGCAGCACGTTTTGGGAGGAGGGGAGGGGTGGGGCATCATTCCTTCTTGGCTGCCATAGCTGCCCTTCATAGCTGTCAGTACATTGTTCGGGTCTTCCGGCTGCCTCTTGGCACGGATGTGCGTGCCCACCCTCTTTTTGATGAACCTGAGTGAGCATGCTTGTCCTCAGACACCTTGAGAAGCTTGGTGGCCGGCCACGAAGCCTCACAACTCCCGGATCATGTCTCGCACGAACTTGGTGTGCTTGGTGAGACACCCAGTCTGCTGGCTGCACCTCGGCCTGCTGAGGGTCTTCATCACCTTGTGGCCCTTGTTGAGGTTCATGGCCATGGGGTAGCGCAGGGCCGGGGTAGCGCAGGGCATGGCCGTTTACGGATTGCTCGATCGGATCTCAAGAAAGGAGATGTTAGTCTGAGGAAAGAATACACGCATCATCACCATGCCTGTCTCGGGCACCATCGGTGGTGTGTGTACTCTTCCTCAGACTAATGTCTTCCTTTCTTGAGCTCTCATAGATGAAGCAACCCATATTCCTCCCTCACCATTGCTTTAACTCGCTTTTGTCTTCAAGCATTATGGGCCACTCTACACCAACCTTAACATCCTTTCAAGATTTCAAACTATTTGTCTAACTTAAGACATGCAGAGTTCTTTGCTGCGTTCAGTGTTTGGCAGTGCTCTGTCTGATACAAGCTTCCCAGGAACGGAAACAGTAATATCATTTCAAAATGGCCTCGGGCTTAGAACCTTGGCTGCTCCAGGAGTCCAGCCTATGGGTCATTTGACTGTACATCACTTGCTGCTAGTCATATGAAAAAGAAAAAACAAACCGGTGTAATAACACTATGTAATAAAAAGGTCATGTGTGGATTGTAAATATGCTGGTTGCACTGTTCTCTGACAGTTTTTCATGCTCTCAGAAGCTCTTTGTTGCCTGTGGTCTTGTCTAGAGGTGCAGCCCTGTGAGATTTACTTGCATTACATCAGTTTATCAAGTGATTCTGAAACTCTTTACCCACTCAATCAGATATAGACTCTATCTCACAAAGCACAACTACAACAGCAAGAAATAGTTACGTGTGTTTGTGTTTATCTTTGAGTTATGGGAATTTCCAGAAGTTTTACTTTTGTGGGTACTTAGGCTTATGAACCTGACACCTTCTTCCACCTATATTTGAAAAGGAATCAGGAAACAAAGTTTGGTAAAGGAAAAGGGATGTGTTTGCAGTTTGACTGTTGATTGGGAGGGAGGTCTCATTTCCTTCTCATCTCACCTGTAACCATCTTGCAATGTATAAAAAGTCATGACAAAAGGGTAAATTTAGCTGTGAGATCTGTTATGATGTCAGCTTTTTATTTAATCCCTGTCTAAAGAAAATGCAGTCTTAAAGATGCTTCATTTTGAAGGTGAAAAGAACCTAGGGTTTTTGTGGCTTGTAAGATCCCTGTCTATACCCAGAATGCCAGTGGTTTTTTTTTTTTTTTTTGGCTTAGCAAAAGACTCCTATTACAGTTGGGGAGGGGGTGGGCGCAGGTTGGGACAGGATGGACATATTCACAGTTGATAGTGTGATAGCTGAAGGGAGGGACAGACACGAGTCTGTCTTCTTCCCTGAGGAGGCTTCAGCATCAGCTTAAGGTTAAAGGTGTGTGAAACACATGTTTGTATCATTATGTCCGTCAGCTGTCATTATCTACCCTTGTTTCATCCATTTCCATTTCTGAGTGTGTATGTGTGTGTGTTGTTCCTGGATTATCTTGTTTCAGACATCATTTTATTTTACTCTTAAGCCTCTATGTCTCATTTTAAAGTTCTTAATGATAAGTGAACATTTGAAGCTAGAAATTGTTAAATTTACTTTATGTTGTTTGTGTTGGAAATTAAGATAATCCCCATTTCTGTCCCATCCTGTTCTGCTCAGTTTGCCTGGGTTAAATTAACTTTCTCAAGATCCTGATTATATTGTGATCAGAGTCAGTCTTTTTACTCACCCAGTATGTAGAGAAAACACAACCGTATTCAACGTATTTTATATGTAAGTGATTATAAGACTTCACTTTTATTGTCCATTTTTGTTTTCTGGTAGTGAGAAATTGTATTTATAAATTTATTATTCTTTGACAGAGACTTTCTCTTGCCATGTGGAAACAGTGTCTGGAGGACTGGTGATATGAATGGGTAAAATAATTTACAAAGGGTCCAGACAGAGAAAATTGAAATACACTTCAAGGCAAGTTCTAGCCAAATGTGGAGGAACATTCATGTAATTCCAGAACTTAGGGAGCCAGAGTCAGGCTGATTTCTGTGAATTCACAGCCAGCCTGGTCTACAAAGCAAGTCCAGGACAACCAAGGCTACACAGAGAAACCCTGTCTTGAAAAACAAAATAAAACCAAAGCTAACCAACCAAACAAACAAAAACCCAATACAGGGAAAGTCAAGTTCTTAGAGAGGAGGTTGCTGAGGGGATCTTGGCTCTGGGAGGGAATGGGGATTCTTCTAACGGTGTAACAGCTGGAAGTTATTTGGTCTTTTCTTGTGAGTCATCTGTAGGCATCAACCTGTGGATGGATAGGTGCTCTTCACTGAATAGATTTTACAGTGCTGTCTCTCTGGGTTGGTCATTTAGACAGAGTGTTGGGTGTCAAGCCCTAAGTGCCATAAGTAACTGTGATTATTCCCCAAGCAGGTCTCGGTCCCATTGTCCCCACTGATCCCCAAAGCATGGGGATCCTGAGCTCTATGTAGTAGTGCAGGTTGTCCTTGTTTTTGCAATCCTCCTGTCTCAGTTTACCAAGTGCTGGAATTACAGGTGCACTAGTATATGATTTGCGGTTAGGCACAAACTGCTAACACCAACTCCACAGTTGAATGCAAAGGAATAGGACGGGTATTTCGAGTAAATGAACTTTCCCCACCACAGGAGACCCTCAGCCACCATATTTGGATTTTATCAGAGTTAAGAATCACTATGCTAGACAACAGCGTCACATGCAACTAGAACCAGTCAGCTAGTGTTAAATCTTAAATATGGAGGAAATGTTTTTGTAGTCCACCTAACGCTTCTAAGCTCAAGCTCAGAGACTGATGGGGTGTACATCCTTTCAGCGGAACTCCCACCACCATATACAGCCATCGCCAGTCCAGGAGCCAGTGGTGTTCCCGTGATCAACTGTCGTGTGTGCCAGTCGCTGATCAACCTTGATGGCAAACTTCACCAGCACGTGGTTAAGTGCACAGTTTGCAATGAAGCTACGGTAAGTGGCGGTTTCCATGAAAAAGCGTAGAGCATTGGAAAAGCAAAAAGTGTAGGTCAGTAACTGCTGTCTTCTTTCTCAAGGGAGTTCTTTAATGTTATGTAAGTGTCAGTGTGGGCAGTGTACAAACACGATGATCCTTTTCATTTCTGTTCTACCTGTCTTTTAGGATGCCTCTACATGTTTGGGATAACACCATTATCATTTGTCTTTGTTAACTTAAATATAACGTCCTTGTGGTTCTTTACATATTGTGGGCATTTATACTTCTCTTCAGTATCTGTCCGTTTCTGTTTTAGTGCAAATCTACAGGGCTTTACTGCAGGTGTGGTCTTTATCTTTAATATGCACAGAAGTGTTAATATACATATCAGTATTCTTTTTCTTTGATTATAAATTTATTACTACCTCTTGGGCCAAACTGCTTGTTTGTAAATTAGCTTAGTATTTTATTGCACTTGCTAGATACTAATGCAATGTAATTTTAAAACAATTGAAGAGCATTATTTTTGAAGGGCATTTAAAAAAGCTGTTCTTTGAGAAGCATAACTAAATTTACCCTCTCAAATAATGCCTGGTGAGGGCTATACTGCTTAGTTGCTCTCCATTCCTACTTGCATAGTTAGACTTTAAATTTTCTTCAGTCTCTTTTGAACTTCGCAATTAAATAGGAATTGAATTTTGGTTCTTGTTTTGTTTTCCTGTTTGGAAAACTGTAAAGCATTCTGCTAGTGATTATTGTATCTAAGAAGCACAAATCACAGATACTGGGCTTCATATGTTTGAAAGTTGCAAAACAAAACTCTAATTCATAAAGTGGTGTATTTCCTTGCTGATATTCTTTTCCTGCAAGGGCTAGATCATTTAGGGAAGTTTATCATGATAAATATTCATAACTACAAAGCTAGCTAGTGTGGAAGTTGATGCATAGCTGGTGAATTTAATTAGGATCACCTTCTGTTGTGCTCTTTGCAGACTAGGCAAGCAAAGGAAAGGGTAAGACAAAAGTACTAAATTTAAAAGACAGCTTTGACTCTCTGCTTGGATATAAGAAAGTCTTCTTTCACTCTGTGGTATCTATTTATGTTTGTCTTTTTTCCTTGAGACAGTGTCTGTGTGTGTATGGAGGAGGGGGCACCATGTATGTGTGGAGGCCAGAGGAGGATTTAGGGTGTCTTTCTCTCTCACCCTTGGCTTTATTCCCTTAAAACCATATGTTTCACTGCAGCAGAAGCTTGCCCTTTCGGTTAGGCTGACTGTCTAGAATTTCCTCTACCTCTGACTGTCTCTGCCGTACCCTACCTACAGTGCTGGGGTTGCAGGTGTGTGCAGTCATGCCTGTCTTTTTTAAGTCGATGTTGGGAATTTGAATTCAGGTTCCCATGCTTACACAGCAGTCTCCCCTCCCCCCATGGAGCCATCTCCTCAGTCCCTTTGGACACATCATCTTACCACATAGCCCAGGCGCCCTCAAGCTCATTCATGATCTCCTGTTTAGTTCCTGGGAATATGTTGCCATGCCCCACTTTTGTTAATGGATAAGAGCAAACACACACACAAAAGGTTTAAGACTTTGTGTTTACTCTTTGGAAGTAAACAGAACAGACTAGGCCATTCATGCTGGAACTGAAGCTTAGCAAACAGGGTCAGTCAGCCAGCGATTCATTTGTACGGGACCAGTGCAGTTTGTTCTAAGAAAACCACTTTGGTACCTAAAGGAAATCATGTTGACTCTTTTCCCCATTAGCCCCCTCCTCCCCATGAGTAAAGATATGTAAACAATTGTGCAACTGCTAGATAAGCTAAAAACATGTAATCAGACTGTCTTGTTTTGTAGCTTTAAGGTTACAGAGGAGGAAAAATGAAAAGAAAGTTTTGAGGAGCTCCTTGACACATGACTAGATTATGTCTCACACGAAGTTTGGTCTTAAGCTTTCAAGAGCTGTGGGGCACCAGGAGTGGCTTCAGAGAATTCTAGGTTGAAAATGTTGGAGATAATGAATGAAATAGGCTCAGGCCCAACAGCCAAATTCCTTACACCTGCTGTCTGTGTCCACTACTGTGATCCTTTCCCGACCACCTGAAATTGGGCCTCAGGGTGTCTGTTCTCTGTGGTGGCGGCTCTGATAGGAACCCGATATGTCTGTCAGATAAAATGGCCTGTGGCCAACGGGTAGCCCCGGATTCAGAGACTGCAGTGTGAGTCCCAGTTCTGTTTTCTGTTGAGTGACTGTATCTTGAGGGTTTTATATTTTAAAGTGTGATTTCTTCATGCTACAATAACACCAGCTTTGTAGAACTATATGTATAATTCTATGTAGAACAGTAGCGTTATTGGCAGCACAACTTTCATGATTGCTGTTGTTATTGTTGTTCTTGTTATTATTCGGGACAGGATCTCATTGTGTAGCTCTGGCTGTTCTGAAACTCACTATGTAGACCAGGATAGCTTGGAATTCATAGAGATCCACCTGCCTCTTCCTTCTGAGTGCTGGGATTAAAGGCATACACCATCACACCCAGCCAGGCCACTTTGTTTTACCAAATAATAATTTTAGAATATGTGCTTGGGCTGGAGAAATGACTCAACGGTTAAAAGCACTTGCTGTCCTTGCAGAGGACTTGGGTTCAGTTCCCAGTACCCATTTGGCAGCTAACAACACTCTTTTTAGCTCCAATTCCAGGGGACCCTGGAATTGCCCTGATCTGGCCATAGGCACTGCACACTTATAATACACAGACAGACCTGTAGGCAAAACAGCCATATACATACAATAAAAATAAACAAATCTGAAAAGCAAGCAGACATGCTCAAACACATTTCTCCTCTCCTTCTCCCATGCAGACCCAACAGAACATGACGCACGGTGGCACTGAGGACTAGTACTCAAAACCCAACTTAGTTGCCTTGTGTTATAAGGGAAGGCACTGATGTCTAGGAGTGAGAAAGTAATAAAATATGTGTGAAAAATATATCGTCAAACACATTTATTTTATGGTAAATTTTGAATCACATAAATAAATAACAAACATATATAAGCCCAAATTCTGTATTTCCTGTTGTTTTATACTCTACATGTATATAGTTTTGATGTTTGTGAATTTTAAGCATTCAGGTGTAGTTACCTACAATATAATTTAATAAATTATAGAATTTTTACTATCATTTGTGTATTTCTATGACAGTTATTTGCTTAAGCATTTGAATTTTTTTGAATGATATGTATGGACACTTTGATTTCTCTGGTCGTATGCAACAATATACCCGTAAGAGGCGAATGCATTTACATATACACAGAGCGCAGTATGTATTTAGCCTGCTGAACACCCCGGGTTACCAGCAGCATTGTTTCCATGCAGTGTGGGTTATTTTCCCTGTGGAGCAAGTGGCTGAGCTGTGGCTCGCTGCTGATTCACTCCAGTTTCTTCAGGGAATCTCATAGTGCATACTGCTTTGCTAGCCTTGAAGAAGATAAAACTTCAACAGCCTCTGTATGTTTTCTCCCGAACACAGACTTCTTTACATCACCAAGTGAATGAAAAACTGCAAGTTGGACTGTTAGAATAGTCCTGTTAAGGACTCCCTGCAGGAAAATATGAAGAATTTCTAAGTGGCCATCATCCTTATTTAATGTTAACATTTATGCTGTACAAGCTTTTCTTTCTCTTCACTGGCATACATTTACCAAATACAGAAAATTAACGTTGACGACATATTGCCATCTAATATTTTTTTATTTTAGCAATTTTGTTTGCCTTTCTTTTTCTCTTCTGCGTCTCCATCTTCCTTTTTTTAAGTGTTGGGGTGCTGCCTGCACAGATGTCGGTGCACCGTGTGTGTCAGTGCCCAGGGAGGCCAGAAGGGGGGGTCAGAGCCCCTGGAGTTGGAGTTGCAGATGGCTAAGACCCTGGGCATTAAACTCCCCCCCCCCAGCCAGAAGAGTAGCGAGTGCTCCTGCACATCAGCCCCCGCTGACCTGAGTCCCACTCCCCACGCTGCCTCATGAACGGCTTCAGGGAGGAGAGACTTCTTCAGAAGTCAGAGCAGAATCACAAATAGCGTTTGGTTGCCACCTGACTTCAACATTCTCTTTTCTGAAAGTTTGTTCTCTTTTGTCTTGATTGCTTTTCTGTTTTTTGGTACAGGCAAACTATTTTGTAGACTGTCTCTCAGGTTAGGATGTCTCCTGTGTCCTCAGGTCATGTGTTTTGGAAGGAGCACCACAGGAAACATCTGTTCTTTTCATTGTGACTATCCAGTGTAGGAGGCTTAAGTTCTAATATTTCAAGGAACGCTCTCTTCCATGCTTTTTATTCTCACTTTAAGTTTAATGTAAATACAAAAAAATACTAGTATTTAGAGCCTCTGCAAGTTTTTAAGTTAGATATTGCCATAAAATTAGTCACTTCTATTGAGTACTTTAAGATGTAATGAGCCTCTTTTCTCTGCTGTGGCTTCTATAGAGTTGGACCAGGCACAGGAGCCCTGTGTGTGTTTCTTACCTGAGGGAACAGGTATATGATCTTTGCTTGTGAACTTTAAGGGGAAAACAACTAGCATGTACTACCTACTCGTATCCGATGAAAAGGCCAGGGTAAACTCATTTTGAAATGTATTCTTTATAACAAACTCCCACAGTCCCTGAATTTCTGAGTGCTTACCCACCAACATCTTTGCTATTTGGAACCATGTGCAGTACACTCTTTCTTAGACTGTACTTTGGTAGCATGGTGGGGCCTTCGATTTCCAAGTAATCCTCTCCTCCTTAAACACAATTTGTGACAACTTGTATTTTGGTTGATTTCCTATATCTGCATTTTTTTCCATTATCTAGCCAATCAAAACCCCCCCCAACAGGGAAGAAATATGTTAGATGCCCTTGTAATTGTCTCCTCATTTGTAAGGACACATCTCGGCGAATAGGATGTCCGAGACCCAACTGGTAAGAGACAAAGATTCATTCCTTATTCATTCATTCATTTGTTCATTCAACAAGTATTTAATTAAGGGTCATTGTGTACTAGGCTTTATTTCAGGCAGTCTTTATCCTCAGTTATTACAGAGCACAGAGTTTTCTTGTTACTGTTGTTAAAGAGATGATGTACTTAGAACTTGGCAGTCAGAATTATTTGTAGGATATAATGTTTTTTAATGAACAATGGATATGTTCTTTTTCTTATGTGGGTATTTAATGAGCTTTAATAAATCAGTGGCTCACTGAAATTATTAAAAATAACTAGTGAATTTACCTTTGATATGATTAATTTTAATCCAGGAGGCATGTTTTGTCGTGTATCTCCTTACATGCTCCATGAGTATCTGTATAATATATGTAATAAGGCCCAGGCTTCTTTGCCACAGTTCACTGCGCATGTGCTCACACACGAGTATATAAACACCTTCACTGTTTCCTGCAACTTCTCTGGCCTTTTGATCATAATCTGGCCAGAGAACAGAAAGGAAACATGGACCCCACTTTACTTTCTTTCCATCTCTGAGTGAATAATTATCAAGGAGTACCAGGCTTTTGGGAGAAATTTGGTGTTGTCTCAGCACTTAGTACTTTCATGACAGACACTTTTATTAATGTAGAAAATATTCTGTGCATTTACATTCACTCTTCTTCCAAATTCAAGTTGTCTTTGTAGTTTAGGAAAAAAATAATTCTTATTTGAAGTTATAAAAATTTAGGAATGGCAGTTAAATGCTTCCTAAGAACATTGATTAGAACTCATGTCATAACATGGCTTATATTTGAAAAAAGTATATATTTTGCTTTACTTTTGAAAGATTATTGGTGTTTTCTGTGATTTGGGGTCTAATGTTTGATAGTGAATTCAGTTAATTCACGTTATTGTAGTCTGATTCTGGCCGTATGTTCTGCATTTGCCCTTGGTCTGCTTGTGGGCTAATGAATTTGTTTGCCTTTTCTTCCCACAGTCGGCGCATAATTAACCTTGGCCCTATAATGCTCATTTCTGAAGAACAGCCAGCTCAACCTGCATTGCCAATCCAGCCAGAAGGTACAAGGGTTGTGTGTGGGCACTGCGGAAACACGTTCCTGGTAAGTAGCTGTACTTTGGCCATTTGTAGACACTAATCTATAAATCTAGGTTATGATCTATAGATTTGAGGACTGTTTACAATTGTACTGTGAGCCTTATTTATGAAGCTAGTGAGTAAAGAGTATGGCAGGTATATACAACATCCTTTGTGAACTAGGCAAACTATGAATCCAGTTGTAGCTCTAAAATTTATTTGCTCACAAATAAATTTTCACTTTACTTAATGGCACAGTTACACATGTTCACTTTACTTAATGGCACAGTTACACATGTTCAACTTATTTTTATGGCTTCTAGATTCAAGAACAATTCTCATAATGATTTATAAAATATTTTCTGACTTTAAAAATTTTACTTGGGGCAGGGGTGGAGAGATGATGGCTCACCAGTTAAGAGCACTGTTCTTCCAGAGGTCCTAGTTCAATTCCCAGCAACCACATGGTGGCTCACAACCACTTATAATATAATCTGATGCCCTCTTCTGCCCTCTTGCAGGTGTACATGCAAATAGAGCATTCATGCATAAGATAAATAAATCTTTAACAAAAATTTAACTTGGAGTAAAGGACATTAATTCTGATACCCATGATTAGACAGGCCGTTGGAGAAAATCTAAAATAGAAGTATTTTGATGTGAGCAAATCTGTGGAAGTATTTTACAACTATGAACTTCAACTCACAGTTTATTTTTAAAGAATTAATTTCATAATGACTCACCCCATCAGGAATGGTAACAAAGGATTTCGTTGGCCCATCATGGTGGTACACGCCTTTAATCCAAGCCCTCGGAGGCAGAGTCAGTTGGATCTCTTAAGTTCAAGGCCAGCCTGGTCTACAGAGTGAGTTCCAGCTAGAGCTATGAAGGGATTTTTTTTTTTTTTTTCCTAAGAATTTTACTTTATTTGTGGTCCTTGGAATCAGAAGGGAGGCTCTTAATGCTGCCATGGAATGAAAGAGCTCAAGAAGTGTGATTGGTGCTTTCTTCTTAAGTATTTATTGTATTGAAGTGAGTTGTATGTAGGCGTTCTAAATGTCGGATCAGGCGTGGGGCCACCTTGTCTACCTGGTTACCAGCTGTTGTCCCCAGTGCTTTCAGCTTCTCCAGCTACTTAACTGAAAGTGGTTTAGTAGTTCAAACTGTTTCTTTTCCTATTTCTTTTTGACGTGTCAATTATGGACCTTATTCTCGACTTCGTAAGATTTGACGTGAACATTTGTGCTTACACCACCTTCCTCATATTCTCACCCTCATTGCCTTTCCTTATTCCCCACAGACTTATGTCACTGAGTGTTCACATGCTTTAGATTAGTAGAGCAACTGTGCTCATGGCAGAGCCATGTGATATGGCTTATTTTCCTCCTTGGCTTTCAGCATTGTATTGGAACTGTAAATATTTGCTCATCTTCTTTGGATTTGTTTAGTTCTCTATGTATATATTAATTCTTTACATGGTGTTTTGGATATATTGAATTTCGCTGTTTAGTCAGGTGTATCTAAAATACCCTGTTTCGGGTCTCTGCTCCATGGCTGGCACCCTAGACCCCCTCCACCACTGTCCTGAGAGGTCTGTTTCCGCCTGCAGATCTCCATCTCAGGCTGCTTTGTCCCGAGAAGAGAAAGGACGTAAAATTTATTCTGTAGGAGGCTTTTAATCCAACAGCAGGTCTGCACAATAATTAATTTAGATATTGAACACCAGGTTCTCAGTTGTTCCATTCAGAAAATTGCAGACTTTCACACTGGTGAGGAGACTTTTACTGTTTTAGTTCCAGGTCCTTGCTGTCTGACTTATTCCTCTCCATTTCTCTTGTTTTTCTATCTTCTCTTTCACTTTCCTCATTGATTTGAAATTTCACAAGGACATGTCCTGGGGAAAGTATTCTGTGGGCCTTTGCATTTATTTCAGATGATCTAATTTCAGCTTAAATACCTAGTAGCCTTTCACATTCTGTTTCCTTTTGATTATAATCTCTTCCCCAGAAAAATACTATGCTTTTGAGGAGGCGATATTTTATTTCAATGCTGTTCTCTGCTTTGTCCTCATTTTTCTATTTGTGTTTCTTTTATAACAGAAAATTTACTGAAATGTTTATTTAAAGAGGCCCCTCACTGGACTCTTCATGAAGACAGAGTCTAGATGATTTCTTTTCCATTGTCTCCTTTTCTTTGAAAACTTGTCATTCACAAATACCTGCAAATCTGCTGAGGAGCCAGTTCCACTGAGGAAAGATTCTTTGCTCTCCAGGGAGAGGTGGGACTGGGATATGGCTGTCTAGGCAACAACTGGGTGATGTGCTTACCTTCTGCTCCAGTGTAGACTTTGATTCCTTTGGTTTTGGAACACTCTGACTGCTCTCCTCAGGCCACAGGCCTGATCGCAGTTCCTTTCTCAGACTGAGTCACTGCTCTCTTGCATATGTTGAGAGAGGAGAGGTTCAGGCTGTGTAGTCTGGAGAGAGTTTACAAGAAACGCTTGGTATTTGATTTTCAGCCTTGTGTAGCTGACAACCAGAAATCATGTATATTAAAATCATCAGACACAAACTAGTTGATATTTACATCACGCTTAGTGTAAGTATCATAAAAGCAACATTGGACACTTTGTTATTTGCTTTACAATTTCAAGAAGATGAGACAATATCATAGCCATTGTTCCACAGTAGACGGCTTTTAACTCTTCGTTGGCTTTCTCAAGCCACAGAGGTGGCTGTCCCCTCGGCCCCTGTGGGCTTCGTTGTTTTCGGTTTTGTGTACAGACGTGATCACACAGTGTTTGTCTTTCTGTGTCTGGCTTGTTTTGTTTACTGCAATATCCCTCATGTTCACTCATGCCATGTTGTATTGTAGGTGCCTTCCTTTTAAGGACTGAACTGTTTCATTTCATGCATGTGCCACCATTTCTTGATCTGTCGGTGGGTTAGTGAGTGGCTTCTGCATTTTGGTTAGTGTGACTGGTGCCGCAGTAGGTGTGGAAATGTGACGCTTCTTGTTTTTGTTATAACCTCTAACATCCAACCTAGAAAGCACACAGTAGTTCAAATACTTCAGCCGCTGCAGGGCTCCGCAGTGGGACCCTGCCTTCTTTCTCCACCATGTCTTTCTGCAGGCAGTCACGTTTTAGCATCCGGGTCACGAAGTCACTTGTTAAAACTTTGATTTCTACTCTACACAATTTGAAAGACATCTGCCCTCTGTTGTTTGTTTGTTTATTTTTTTTTCTTATTGTGTCTTACATTTATAAATTCACTCACTATCACTTTAGTCATAGTTGGAGGAGGAAATGAAAACCTGTTCACTCATTCAGTTGTATGCAATTCATAATAGTGATTCAGATTTTTCCTACCCAGGACAAAATATAAGTCCCTTTCCTTATATTTTATTATGTGAGTGAGGGAATATATTTGGAATAAGCCACGGATTTCTGTTTGTATTCAGACTGACAGTACAGATTGGTATGCTTTACAGAAGTCAGCAGACATACAGTAAACGGACTCACCTAAGTATAGATTGAACACATTGGGTGCTCTTTGTCTCGTACGGAGAAGCTGTCATTTTAGTGTACTATCATTTTAAAGTACAGAGCAGACTTCTTTTCAGCTTACTCAGGAATTACCTTCCATGATGGCCTTTCTATTTTCTATTTTGAATTTCTTAATAGATTATCTTTCTAGCTACTTTACAAAAGAATTATTGTAATTTATTTTAAAAAAAATACAGAAAGCGTATGTACCTGGTGCTGCATAGATCCCAAGGAAATCATGGCAAACAGGAAGCAACCTCTATTTTCATGGTTTTCCAACCTAGCAGGAAGAAGATATTTAAGAGTCTCAGGATGTGAATAGAGCATGGGGATACATTGTTTTCGTGCAAAGATGTAACTAACCTGAAAGACATGAAATTATCCTAGGAGTAATAGAAAAGTATAGAAGTGCTTTATGTAAAGCTGGCAAGATGGCTGAGCAGGTAAAAGCCCTTGCTGCCGACCCTGATAAACCTAGTTTAATTCTAGGAAGCCACATGGCAGAAGGAAAGGACTGATTCTCACATTGCCCTCCACAATAAGAACACACACACACGCTCTCTCTCATGCAAAATAAAATAAGAATAAATGCAGAAATACTAATTAAAAAAAAGAAGTGTTTTACATTTAGGTGTATGGGTGCGTGCAGTCTATGACGGAAACAGATGTTCAGCTTTTATTATTTAGAAAAGTGATAATGGTGGTTGATGGTTAGAAAAATTAGTGATGGAGAGAAAAGAGTGATAGTGTAAATAATGTGAAAAAGAGTGAGGAAAAAGTTTAAGATGATGTTAGATATATATTTAAACTTAAACTGCAATGTAACATATTAGCTACCTTTATGATGTTTTGAACAAAGTGTGTTTTTGTGGCTCTTCCTGTTATCTCCTTCACCTCCCTGTTACTCCTGTCTCCCCCCACCAAACCCCATTCTTTATTCTTTTCCCTTTTCATGTCCTCTGTTTAGTACTAGGGGCATTAGGCAATAAATTCTATGGAAATGATCCAAGTTGAAATTTTAAATAGATGTGTAGGAGGGTTAGTTTACAATTTATATCTTTATAATCTTTTTTCTTTTTCTATTAATTTTTATATATTTTTATTAATTATGTTTATTCACTTTGTATTCCAGTTGTAGCCCCCTCCCTCATTCCTTCCTAATCCCACCCTCCCTCCCTCATTTCCTCCCATGCCCCCCCCCCAAGTCCACTGATCGGAGAGGTCCTCCTCCCCTTCCCAATACATTCTTGGAGAGGATGTGGAGAAAGGGGACCCCTCCTCCACTGCTGTGGGAATATAAAATTGTACAACCACTTTATTTATAATCTTAAAATATAATTTATGCATTAATGTATTTTGCTATATGTAGCCACAGACTCATGTTTATAGCCAAATTTTCTACTTAATATTTAGGCCAGGCGTTAACCTGAGTCACATTAACCTGTCTTACTCACACAGTAACAATAATTAAAACTTTT